TGGTCCGTAATTTGATCTAGGCAGCTGTGGTGACGTTTCACATTTCTGTGAGCTCTCTACCTTTTCCACTCCTGTAGCCACTATCACCCTTTTGTAAGTTGCTCTATAATGCTTGCTGTGTGACTTGAATGTTATAGATATTAGTAATTAAGAGAGAATATACCTACCTCTGATTGCCCAGCTCAATAGTTGTTGAGTAAATCTTGAGAAATGGGCCAGATAATGCCAACAAATTGGCATAATTCATGAAATTGTTGTTATTCAATAAGTTCTGACACTGTGGAAAGACACAAATATGTCCATCTGGTCTATGTTACTGGTATAGCTTTCTCAAATGAAACACTGTGATTTTGCAAGCCATAAATATAAAAGTGAAGGTAAATGTAAAGCAAATAAGTAGCTGAGAAATCACAGCTGCTGCAGAAGTGGGCTGGGATGAGGTTATGTCAGAGAAAGTCAGGAGAGGCCAGACAGCTGACTTTCATGACTGACTAACCATTGTCCCAAGGACCATAATAAACTGCAGAGGTATACTGTTGTTTTGTTTTTTCTTCTTATGTGAAGACACTATACTCAGCTTGGCTCTCTGAGTAATGTGTTTCTTTTTTACCTTGTCTGGATGTTCTGTGTCATGCCCACAAATACCATTCCCAGTTTGAGAAAGCTTTTTACTAACACATTTGTTTTCTATTAAAACAAAGAACTAGAGATGTTTGCCTACTCCACAAATACCACCTGGGAAGGGTGGCTATAGATAAGGCACTATATACTTCCTGAGCCAAAAGAAATGGTTTTGACTGTTTTCACCATGAAGAGATGGTAGATGTTGGAGGCAAAAGATAAGTTTGCCCTGCTTTGAACATTGCATGAGCATTGAAATATTAGAGTACCCATCAATATCTATTATTTCCATGTTTTATGTACTAGTTAAAATAAATTAAAACAAGAAATTACCAGCTGGTTAGCTTTAGTTACCTATTATTTCACCAGTCAATGATTCTTGTTTCTTTATCTTTTCAGGCAACAATTTGTGTTACAATTACTGGCACTGTCATCAATGACATATTCGGCCAGCGGTTTAGCTCAGTAGTGCCACCACTTGCCTCACAAGTGCCAGGACCCGAGTTCGATCCCCAGTACCAAAGAAAAAAAAGCAAAACAATAATGACACATTTTCTGAGCTTCTCCTATAGACAAAGTACTTTGCTAGGTATTGGACCTGAAAAGAATATGTACTAGCAAATCCCTAATCTTTAAATTAGGGGCCATAGGCCAGCACCGTTCCATGCCCTGTTAGAAACCAGCCATCACTTCAGGAGGTGAACCATGCTGGTGAGAGCAAAGCTTCGTCTGTAGTCACAGCTGCTCCCCATTGCTCTCATTACCCCCTCAGCTCCACCTCTTGTCAGATTAGTAGCCAGGCATTAGATTCTCACAGGAGCAGGAATCCTGCAATGAACTGCCAGCGAGCGCAAGGCATCTCAGTTGCAGGCTCTTTATGAGAGTCTAATCTCCAAACCATCTCCTATGCCGTCCGGGGAAATATTGTCTTCCAAAAAACCAATCCTTGATATCAAAAAGGCTGGGTGTCACAGCATTAAATAATTCCAAACTGGCTCAACTACAGAATGCGTGAGCAAAAATCTGAACAGCATTACGGAGCATTTGATAATTGTCCATATACAAATACAGAAGGATTTCAGAAGATAAAAGATGGTGTCATCAAACAAAACAGTGAATATTTACAAACGTTTACAATTTTTTAAAAATTTATTACAGTAAAAGACATTGCCATCAATCCCCCTCAAAATCCTCGGACTATTCCCCCTCACTTCAAAAACACTATCTCATCATTCTTCCTAATTCACTTTTTAGTGTCATAAGTTTTCCTTTTTTAATTTAAACTTTCAGCTGATCTTCTGAGCACCCCTTGGCTGGCCAGTAAGCGCTGGTTTACTCAAGAAGACCTTTTTGAGATCAAGCCTAGTGCATAGTAGTGTATATAGGTTTGGTGTGTGCATACACATGCAGGGTATAAGTGTTTCAGGAAAAGACCGAGGATCAACCTTGTTATATACGCAACACATTCTCAGCTTGATTAGATCACATGTGGGTTGCAGAGGACATGTTAGGATGGGTGGATACCAAAAAACTTTTCAACCTGTATTCTGGAGAAAACACTAACCCGGAGAAAGGTTGAGAGAATAATAATTTCTATGGTAAAAATTTTTGAAAATACAGCAAACTATATCCTCTTCTCAAGGTGCAAAGGCATGTATACGTTTTTTCACATATTAATTTACATCCTCAAAGAGAGATTATTTTTCTATCTCTCTCACAAATTTTGTTTGTTTTGTTTTTTTGCGTGTGTGTGTGTGTGTGTGTGTGTGTGTGTGTGTGTGTATTTTTTTTTACTACCAGGGATCAAACTTGGGCCCTTGTACCTAAATCCCAGGCTCTCTCTCACAAATTTTGAAAGCACTAATGTGGGGTTGGGGGTGTCCATGAAGGATGGGTATTAGTCTGCAGGGCACTATGTGGAATTGAGCAGATGGGAAATATGAACTAAATGGTATTTTAGAATAATTAATCGAGAAAGGTTTGAAATATAGAATGAGATAGGTAAGTGGTGGAACCAAAAGATTATTTGGAAAACTTGATATAAATCCATTCTAGCATGACTTACAAAAATGTTAGTTTTCTTTAATTGCTTTTTAAAGATTTTTCCTTTGTAACTGAGGATTACTGTCTTTAAATAAAGTACTATCTCATACCTCTCATAAATAAAAATAATATTTCTCTGGTTAACCAGAAAGGAGGAGCAAGTCTCTGAATAAGAGCAAGAACTAATCTATAATATATAGATCCAAGAAGAGAATGGAAGACTAAATGGATGGAAAAATTTAACAACAAAAGGGATATATGAAATAATTTTTCAACTGCATAGTGCTGAATGTTTCTTGCACATAAAGGGCCTAAAAGTTATTAAATAAGTGTCATGAGGCTAAAAGTAAATCTAGGTCTCAGGCCCAGTGAAGCCAACCAAGATGGCATCTAACCTTTATGGATATGAGCCTCACTTTTAAATCTTCCTAAAAAGGAAAAATAAAATAAAATACTGATAGCAAAAAATAAATAAATAAATAAATAAATAAATAAATAAATAAATAAATAAAAATCTTCCTAAGAAAGAGAAAGATATGAGTATCCAGGACTTGGAACTCTATTCTGTGACCTAGCTTTGTGACAATGGCTAGGCTTGCCTGATGATAACCCTTCTAGCAACCTATTCTGTCCTACCTAATATTCTTCACTATTCCCCTAGATTCACCACAAAAGAGTCTGGAGCCAGTTAAGGGATTTTGAGTCATATTACTCCTTTGGAGAGAAATTCCTGTCATTTGTGGATTAAAATGGACTATAAGCCACTTCAGATTCAATTTAACTCTTAGTGTCCATTCTAAAGCCTCTAATTGTATGGCTTTCCTCATCTGCCTTTACTTTTTGTTTTTCTTTTTCTAGTCATTTCCTTTTTAATAATACACTAAATGAATTCTTTTCAAGTTCTTCACATATTACCATAAAACTCTCGGAAACAAAACACACACCAACAATCTGATAAGGCAATAAACAAAATGATGTGCATAGTCTTGGCTTAGGCAGTGGAGTTTTTGTTCATTATTTTCATGGAAATCAAGATTATGAAGAATGAAAATTCTCAAAATGAAAACCATTTATTCACTGGAGTCTGGCTTGACTATACATAGAAATAAAGAGTTGGGTTCTTTCCCAGGTAAACTTTGTACATAATGTTTCCCTTGAGCAAATAAATATTGAAGACGTCTACAGGGCATTTGTGAGGCAGAAAGAAGGCTAATGATCAGGATAACTGCACATACGGTCTATCCCATTTCTATGTCATGGGACCCTGATTCCTAGATAGGGGTCGGGAGAAATGGAAAGTGCACCTTTAAATGTGTGGCCAAGTCTTTTGCCACTTAATTTCCTTCAGTCTATTTTATTTTCTATTTTATTCTCATCAGATATCAATCTAAGTACCCTTTCCTTGTAGCAATGAATCAAAACCTTTCTAAAGGTATTTGTTGTGGGTTTTTTGTTTGTTTTGGGGGGGGATTGGTATGAGATCCTCCTGCCTCAGCCTCCCAAGAGCTGGGATTACGGATGTGCACACCACACCTGGCTTCTAAAGGTATTTGTATATTTTATTTTTCAGCTAAGATCCATATAAGAAATTTAAGTTCCAAAATGTTAACCTATTTTACTTCGATCAGAAAACCCAAAAATTACAAATGCACTCTGCTGTACCTTAATATTGTAAAACAGGCTTATTTGTGGTTGTAGGAGAAAAGCATAAACAATCAATGTAACTGGAATATTTATAGTTCTTTAGGCAAGTTAAGCAAGTAATTAAAACATATTTTGTTTTCATCTGTAGGTAAAGTATTCAGTATTTTAAACAATCCATCAATACCAAAAAAATATTTGCAGATTAAAATTCTGTATTTATATTAACAGTCACTTCATTGGATTTTTCAAAACTTTGAAAATGCAGACATACATGTGTATGCATCTTAATGTTTCTATTACTTTGTAATTTGCAACGAAATAGTGATAATGCTAGGCTTGATTTACTTTACCCTTTTCTGAGGTGAAACTTGACTTTATTAAATAAAACACTATTAGAGGTCAATCTCATCAAAACAAAATTTTTAGCTTTACAAAAGACTTCAAGGCATACTGCGTCAAACCATCTCATATGATATCCAATACGACTAAATTCAAGAACACAAAAGAATCTCAATTGCCCCTTCAATTTCTTAATGAGATTCGTCCTGCATTTTGAGTCTCTTTAAATCACAGCAAAAAAAAATTCATCAGAGTACCTTTTATTTTTCAGTTAAATACACTCTCTCTCCCTCCCTCAACTGAACAACAAAAAACAAAGAAATACAAACATTAACAAAAGCTAGATCACTTACCATAAATGCCTGTTGAGATGCAGGGAAATGCCTGTGAATAAACCACAGAAATAACAATAAATTCTAAAGGAATGAGTCTGCCCAGTATTATCTTGATATTTGTTTTGCTTGACAATGGGAAGCCCTCTTTTTACACACTCAGAGCTGCTAGTGAGAGTAAGAGACTCTCTAACCTAGGAATGTTTGATTAACTGAAAACTTTTCCTTATCTGCAATTATGCCAACTTTCAAAACCCAACAGTTAAATTTTTAGGAAACTTGTGAGCCAATTGTTAAATGATCATTATAAAGAAAACTAAATTACATAAAGAAATACAGTGAAATTGATGGTATCAAAGCTAAGTCAACCAACAGTCAGAACTAACACTCCAATTCCTTCGCCACATTTTCCTGTTACTCATGCTTTAGAGATTATCTCTGTTGTACAAGTGCAGTAGGAATAGCACATGTTGGTAACTCTTGAACATCTCAGCTCTGAGTTATATGCTGTTGTACTGATGTTTTGAAATATGAAAATATCAATTAACATTCAAGACTCACAATCATGGGACAAGTGAAATTGTGGCCTGGCTACAGAGAGAAAATTTGGATAAAATTCACCAAAAATATTTAGAGAGACTCACAGGACTATTGAGAATTTATAATAAAGAGAAATTGTATTTATTCTTACATGTAAGTTGTATGTCAGTAAAATTTAAGATTAACTTTTATAGCATATACCATTCTCCCCTTTCAGGAGCTGATCTTTAAACATTTCCTGACACATTACTGCTTACACCATGTTTTGCGGAGCAATACATAAAATATTTGACTAAAATAATGAACAAGTATAAATGTTGGTTTTACTCTGTTAGGCTAATTATAGAAAGTAATCTAGGTATGGTCATGTCTTCTGCCAATATATTTCCATGTAAATTAATTAAATTGGTTTTTGTTTGTTTGTTTCATACTGGTGCTCAAACTCGGGACCTTGCGCTTGCTAGGCAGACAGTGGCACCACTGATATAATCCCCGGCCTTCAATTAAGTTATTTTAACCTTCCTGATCTTCATATTTTTCAATTTTGAAAACCTATATAGAAATTCATTTTGGCAATTAATAATAGATTTTTTTACATTCTGTACTAGAATCTAAAAGCTATAATTGTTACCCACAATAATAGCTAACATTACTATTGAGATCAATAATAATAACAAAATGGGTTAATATGCACTGTATTTTATTTCCTGTAACATTTTATAGAATAGACGGTTATTCTTTCTTCTGAAATCATCAAAAGTTGTGATTTCACTTTAGAGAAATTAATAATGGACTCTACTAAGCTCAAATATTTATCTGCAAAATGAAAGGTATTTTTTCCGCTCCTACAAAATCTTGCTGGAAAATGTTAATGCTATTTTCTTCTTATTATTAAGAAAATAGGGTAGTTTCTAGGACAATATAGATGTGGTTTTTTATTTATATGGAGCTCAATATTGAATTCTTCATGTTGTTTTTGTTTTGTTGTTGTTTGCATTGCTGCTGGAGATCAAAGCCAAGGTCTTGCATCTGCTAGGCGAGCACCTTTCTATTCAGCTACAACAACAGGTTTGTTACCTCCACTGCCCCCATTGTTTGTGAGGTGCTAATAAGATCAAACAATACTCTCAAATGATCCAACTCACCCAAGGACATAAAAGCAATAGTATAAAACGAAATCTGAAAACACTGCCGTTTCCTTACAGGTATTCACCTAGACCCCAACAAGTCTTTCTCTCAGTATCAACCACAAGTTCACTATAAGCAACCAGTTACTAACATGAAGGGCTCAGAGTTCAGGAAGAGTCTACTGAAAATATAAATTAGAGAAGATTCAGAATTATCCCAATAATTTGTGCTGTGTCACTCATGCTCTGCTATGCCATTTAAGTGGAATAGAGAGAAGCAAGCATATAGCTGAAGCCCCATTGATTCTGTGAGAGAAAACTGAACACTGAACTTTGGGGAAAAGAAAGTTTCAATAACTTTTGCATCAACCATTTCAGATATATGGAAAGCAAAAACTTATCTCGACTATCATAAGTTTTTTCAGCTAGGGCTGAGAATTAAATTGATGTAAGACAGAAAAATAGGAGCAAAGCACACAAATCTATTTAACACAAGTTTTAGGTGACAGTGAAGCTTCTTCATAAAGCATGTGGACAGAGTGTTAAGTAGTAAAAATATGGCAAGACCAAGGGGCATCGGCTGGGTAGTACTCAGGTGGGGAGGTGACTAGGAAAATAAGAGTTGGTATAGCAAGGATTGTTTGGACAGATTTCTCTTGTCCTTGAGTTCCTTTCCTGGCCTACAAGAATGTTCCTTTGCTTCTGGTATAGAGGACATCTTTCACATGGGAATTTAATCTGCTTCTACAAATGAAGGTCAAAATATCCTGCATTTTTTTTTTAGGGTCTTTAGTTCAGATTAGTCCATGTACTAAAATGGTATATTTGGCAATATGGTGTTCTGAACGCCCTCGAAGGAAAAGCAGAAGATACCACAATGTTTTTAACAAGCAGGCCCACCTCAAGTCCTACCTCTGTGTCCTTCCACCATGTGAAGTGGGCACTTTACTTTTAACTTTTCTGAGTGCTACCTTACCGCATAGTAAAGGGAAAACAGGGGGCCAGCCTGAAAAAGTTGGCTGGAGAATTAAGTTAGCCAAGTGGCTCAGACCTATAATTCCAGCATTCTAGAGGCTGAGGCAGGAGGCTTGCAAATTCAAGCTCAGCCCCAGGCAACTTAGTGCTTTAGTGAGACCCTGTTTCAAAATAAGAAAAAGATCTGGGGAAATATCTCAGTGCAATATACTGGGTTCAATTAACAGTACTGAGGGGAAAAAATATGAGGAATTAGGAACACAAAACACTGTGACAAATGTTCCACTGATGCTAACTTCCAGACTAGACAGAAAGGGGCCTGTTGCCCTAGAAAAGAGCTTCCCTCATTCAGCCTATTGATATTTGGACCAGATAATTCTTTGTTCTTAGAAGCTGTCCTGTGCATGTTTAGCAGGATCCCTTCAGACTAGACAGAAAGGGGCCTGTTGCCCTAGAAAAGAGCTTCCCTCATTCAGCCTATTGATATGTGGACCAGATAATTCTTTGTTCTTAGAAGCTGTCCTGTGCATGTTTAGCAGGATCCCTCGACACTACCCACTACATGCCAGCAGCATTCTTCCAGATGTGACAATCCAAAATATTCGCATCACTAAATGTCCCCTCAAGGATAAAAATCTCCCCTGGTCAAGGATCACTGCCCTAGAATCTAGGGCCTAGAACTGGGAGTACTTTTAGCCACCAGCATTTTCAGAGAGTACTTTAGATCCAAAGAACCACCTCACTCTGGGTCAAGCCTCTTTCCAGGACAGCCCACACTGACAGGTGACCAACGAAGGATACAAAGTCCTGGCCACTGGGGCTCACTCAGAGCAGTGACAAAGGGCCCTTCAATCCGTAGGGCTCACATGGGAACCGCGGGGCTGGCCCAGGACCTGTACGATGCTTGCCTTCTCCCTCAGCCCACTGCTACTCCCTGCCTCTCTTCCACATGGGCTGTTTCCGAGGGCATTTCTTAAAAGACATCCAGCACCCTGAACTCTGAGGAACTGATCTGAGCCAACTACCTTCTGCTACCCCTTTAGATAAAAGCTCTTCTCCCACCAGAGGCAGCAGAAGAAAGAAAGTACTGAGCGGTTAATGGTGATTTTCATTTACCTCAGCTCCCAGTTCTATCTTAGAATCAATCATGCAAGTTAATAATTTTTCTGAAAGTACCAAATCCCTTGTATGTTTTAACAAGGACAAATAGCTTCAACTGAAAACGACATTGTTGCCTTAAATCTGAAGGCAAGTGGTAATACAATGGAGGATGAGTTGGATGACACTGTTGTGTTAATTCAAACAAAAAGGCAATGAATGATAAAGCAGAGATGGAAATACAATATTGGGGAAAATTAATTTTACATAAAATAATTTTGCCTAATATTCATCTAAACTAAATATCCTCCATTAATCACTTTCTTTACTTAAAAGAGAGATATAAGGCAGAGGGAGGCAGTAACGGAGGGAGAAACGCAAAGAGAAAAGAGAGAGAGCTCAACTAAGGGATTGTGCAGCATACAATCTGTGTTCTTTGCTATGATAAATTTCTCATGGGTCCACCAAAGGTGAACAGCATAGGACATCCTTATTTCAAAGCTGTATTTAACATAACCGCTTGACTTAGAAATCCTCTCACAGAGGGATGATAGATGGTACCAAAACCCAGACTAATTATCCTGGTTTGTTTGAAGTGCACATAATTCAGCAATCACAGAATTTTGGAAATGACAATGGCAGCCCAATTTCTAAAGCTGTACAATCTCCTTCCAGCAAACGGGCAACAGGACGTCTCCTGGCTAATCAGGTCTGATCATACAGCCATCAGTAATTTGCTTTATAGCACTTGACTTTAGCTAAGTTTTCTCAAGCCAGCATAAGCTTGCTGTCTTGGGAGAAAAAAAAAATCATTTGACTTAATACAGAGAGAGGATTTTTCTTTTGCGAAATGGTAGATTGGGCCACTAACTGGAAAATACTTCCTTAGCCCAGAGTGTTGATTTCAAGCACTTATAAAAGCACTGAGATACTTATGGCTGTAGATTCTGTTTCCAATCCTCTTGTTCTGTCTCCATTTCTCTCCTTTCTGTCTCAGTAACTTGAGAGCAAGGAAGGAAAGTCCCTCAATCTTCCCTGTCTTGATTCTAACACTGTTTCAAAATCGAAGTAATAAATCCTAAGTCAAAAGCGTCCTTTCCTCAGGCCCTTGATGAAAATCAGGTGGATTCCTTTCAATGGTTACCATCAGGAATACAAAAAGAAACAATAAATGCTAGTAATAATTCAGGGGAAAAAGGAATTCTTTTAACCTTACAGGTGGGAATGTAAATGAAAATAGATAATGTGAAAATCAATATGGAAGTTCCTCAAAAAACTAAAAATAGAATTACCAGTTGATCTAGCTAAACTA